TTGTTGGGGGCAATATGCTGACTCTCTGTAAACCGCTTAGAGAGGGCTGAAAGCCCTATGAAGCGGTATATAAGTCTACTGCTATTGCTATGATAAGAGCCTGAGGTAAAACCTCGTAGGCTAGCCGCTATTAGTCTCTGCAATGGTTTTGCGCTAGAGAGAGAGGGGCAAGGGCCTCCAACTCGAAAATTCACAACCAATTTAATTAAATTTGGAAAAGGAGCTAATTAGAAGAAATTTGGAAACTTTTAGCACAAGTTTAGTTTAAAGTCGAATTATTTAGCAAGGAAAGATACACAGACAGCTAATCCAAGAATTAACTGAGTCTAAGGTGGGAGGAGGAGCTCATGGGCATGTCTTTAAAGCTTGTAGACCCAGTCCGATTGGATCCTGACAGATTCAAACCCATGTCTGGATGATATCTCCTCCTACTAGCAGAACACCAATCTGATCAGTAAAATTTATAAACAGCAATGGTGACAGAGAACAACCGTGTCATGTTACATTCTCTATCTCACAGGACTTGGGTAACTTATCATTAACAAGAGTTGAGCCTTCTGTCCTGTATAAATTACTGCATCCCCTTAAGAAATTCTTTTCTCTTCCACCAATATGAAAATACTTATATGATGAAAATAATCCATGTCCAGTATTTTTCAAATTATTCACAGAATTTTATTAGATGCAAAAAGGCATTAATTAATGCAAGTTCAGAAGGTATATAAAAGTGTTATTCTGAAAGTCTTGCTAACTAATAGGATTTCAAAATGAGGTGATATATATGGTCTCTCAATAAATTATTAATTTATTAAATAAATTAATTTGTTTAATAAATTATTAAATAAAATTTAATTCTGACTAGAATAGGATTAAATAAAATATTAATTATAGACAAATCTTTGTTGCCTTTCAGTGAAAGATTTCTGGTAAGGTTGAACAAGAATGGGGGGGCCAAAAATCCAGAGAAGATTGATCGGATGTGTACACTTTTTACAGTAAGTAGTGCTTTATATTCTGTACTCTGTTTCTGACACAATTTGGTCATTTGTGAGTGATTAACATTTCTAAATTTATAATACCACAAATTTTGTACAACATTATTATTTTAAATACTTAAATGAAATATGAGCCAGCATCCTTTAAGATGCCAGCTGATTTTTTGTGGTATAGTACAGAGCAACTGTGTGGAATACTCATAAACAATCTCAGGTCTTCTTGTCTGGAGACCTCATTAGAGTCTTCATTCTGTCTTAGTCATTGGCTCCAATTTAAGCAGCACAATCTTCCGTTTGCCATTTCTTCCCTGGAAGTACAGACTTCCTTTCTAAAATATTTGTGATTATGAGTTTTATGATTTAGCTTTTACACTGTCTTCTAATTATATGTCCAAATAATAGCATTGCTTTGCAATGTTGGCTTTGTAAAGTAAGATGGGTAGCATATAAATTTGATAAATAATAAATAAGCAATATGTTCAAAGTATATGAAAATATGTAGGTTGAAAGCAGATGAGTATAGGGGCTATACTTTTAGATGTTCTGGGGGAAAAAATAGATGTCTTTAATAAAATATTAAAACTAATGATAATGTTCTTTATTATTTTTAGAAGAAGAAATGCATTTTATATT